TATCGAGATAAACCTTCATTCGCCAATTTTTCTTATTTAGGAATGCGCAAAACGCTTTTTATATCATGCGCTATTTTCATTTTCATCCAAACGAAACCTTTCTCTTACAGAAATATCACATTTCCTCTCAATCTCTTTTACCTTTAATTATTTTCAGATTTCACGTGTCTCGCGTGTCATTTAGAGAATTATACTTGTATGTTATGTAATTTTAACAAGAATAACTGTACATGTGAATAAGAGATATAAAAAATGTGTAAACAATATGTTTTTGCCCGTACATCAAATCAAGGAAATGCCAAATGTTTCAACGTTTTATCATAAACATAGAAATGACGAAATGCCTAACATTTTCACACGGAATTTCGACGAATATCCGAAGATGCATCTCTTCCGGAAGAAAACTTTTTTCTAATTATAGATTGTTAAGAATTAGACCGACGTTGAAAATGGCGTAATAAAGTGAACAAAAGGTTAGCCGTTAGTTCCGTCCCAATGAGAAGTTAAACTTACGAAACGAGAGTTCTTGATGCCCCAACAGAAAGACAAGGAAAACGTCGCTAAACCAACTTCCATAGCAAGTTTTTCGGATAGCTGCACAATCTGCAGCTTGCTGTAAAGAACGGAAAGGAAAGATTCCAACGAAATCACGAGGAAAAATCTTGGAGAAGCAAGTAGTTTGAGTATGATGAAAAACTGCTTAAGATGAAAGTCAAGTCAAACGACTCGTGGTTGCTTATTCATTCAATCTTTGTATTTGGAAGACAGGTGTGGTCATTCAATCTAAAAAAATCTACTATTTCAACTATTTAAATATAAGTATGTGTAATTATTAGCTTAGGTTTTTTAAATGCACCGCCAATACGTATACATAGGTAGATACATGTTAAAGTTAATTAAAGTTAATAGACAACCAGAAAATGATTACTGCATGACATTTTATGTCTTTATTGTTATAAAATTTTTACGTGAAGCAACACCTTTATTATCATTAATGTAAATTAATTCTACAATTTTATGAGCTAAAAAAATTAGATATACAACTTTGCTATTTTTTCTTTAAATGCCGATTACAGATATTGGTTGGTTTAGTTTATAAAGGTATTGTAGTATAAGAGTTAAATAAAAAATTATATAAAGTTAATAAATTTAATTTCCTTTAATCTCTAATTAAGGAGAACTTTGGAATAAAAGCTATAAATTATTTTTAATATTCTCGGATATATCTTTGTTATGATTATTATTGTTTTGTAGAGTAACGTAAGACAATATTTTGGAAATGATTAGAAATATTACAAGGTCAATATTATCTACCGTAAATGACAGGATTCCTCTCCTCTCCCCTCCCCGGCTCCCATTCCAATTGGTACTACTACAGTATAATACATCTCGTATAATTCTTTCGACTTTGATTTTACGATCATGATGGGCGATAGTGTGATGTAGAGAGAGGTATATGTATATTTGTTCGGAAAGTAGCAGCTGAGATATCGTCTTACAGGATCCGGTGGTATATCGTGTGAGGAGAAACAGATTATTTTGGACGAACACAATCGATTGAGGCAACTAGTGGCATTGGGACATATACATGGTCAACCAGGTGCGGCGAATATGATGGAGGTGGTGAGTTGACGCATTTCGCCTTATTTTTTTAAAAGTACGATTCTTTCAAAATATATCTTCTCTATAACGATTCATGTGGGTGGAATAATGGTAATCGAAAAGTAATATGTATATCGTAGTAGTAATGACATTTTTACACAAAGTATACATTTATCAAAAGAGCCTTCTCCAACTGAAAGGCACTAATTTCTGTGATTGATTGTATCACAGAGCAGCAACAGTTGAATTAATTTAATGCTAGATATGTAATAATTTATTATCGTAGATATGGGATGATGAACTTGCCGCGATAGCACAAAGATGGGCGGATTATTGTGCAGAGTCACACGATAGTCTAAGAAACGTCCGTAAGTATAAAATTTGATTAGTAATTGCTTTTCTATAAAAACATGCAATTGTTAATTAGTATTATTGCAAATCTATGGAATATTATTAAAATCTTATTTTATAATCTACTAAATAATCGCACAATATTCTACACACTTTATTTTGTAATTAAGTACAATATTAAATGTAGAAATAATTGTTATTATTTGTAAAATAGAAAATTTTGAATAAAGACTTTTTAACTCTTGAACAAAATTGGCAATAATCTTTTTACACGTCAAAGTATGATGTATGTATACAAACATTTGTGCTTGGTTCGCATTATTTCGCTTCTGTGTATGTATAATATTGTTAACGTGCGGAACAAATATTTCTCAATTTAACCAATTTTCCCTCTGGCGCATATGTTTACTTGGATTGATCAAGGCGACCATGATTTCTAGGGAGATTTGCAGTAGGACAAAATATTGCTCGTTCATGGACGACCAGGCCTCCAGGACCCTACGACGGTGTGCCAAATTGGAGACGACAAATTTCGGGGTGGTTCAACGAGGTACAATATTATCATTCTGGTTATAGCAAAACTACTGGACACTACACACAGGTATGTAATAGCCAATTAAAAGATTAGTTCTAAACAAAAATGTCGATAAAACAGACGGGTTTTGAGCATCTGTTAAGTATTCAAAGTATAATCCACTCATGGACTTGTTTCATGCTCATACGCGAGTAATTTATGGATCTGGAAATATTATTATAGAAAATATGTTGGATTAATTCCAGTTGGTATGGAGCGACACTTTCTTGATCGGATGCGGATATTCCTTTTATTACGATCCGGCTCGCGGTTATACCAAAAATTACGTATGCAACTATGGACCGAGGTAAGAATTCTACCTTGAAATGTCGCTACTTTGACATTTTATGTCCCTTGGTATTGAAGTATGGAAATACAAGCAATTGCGTCGAGCGGTATATTACAGAATTTTTAGATCTTTATTCGAGGAGACAATAAGATACTTTTACAAAAGAGTCTTTGATAATTTCAAAACAATTTTCTTTACGAACACGAATAATGTTACTATTGTAACGTGAAAAGTGTAACAAATAGTTATAAGAGAAAAACGGTTAATAATATTTCAAGTTTTTATTTCGATACACCTAGAAAAATTGACACGGTTTTACGTCGTTTCAGCGGAAATGTATTTGGCTTTCAACCTTACAAATCAGGCCAACCTGCATGCGGTAATTATGGCATGTCCTACAGCAATAGATACGCTGGATTATGTTGTTAGTATCATAGTATGCTTTGTAACATAATTCAACATTTTGACTTTCTCTAAAAGTATAATACAAAAAATATATATATATATAATATTCAACATATTTGCAATTTTAATGATACCATTTTAAAACCATGTTATAATTAAATATTTGAGAAAATTTATCATATTTTATTGTAGTTGTCGTCAATTGAAAGTCGTCAAACAATTTGTCTCCCTATATTTTATTGAATTTTTCCTGTTATATGATTATAATAATTAGTTTTTTCTATAAATCGAAATCTTTCATTTTTCTGTAAAAATAATCTGTGAAAATAAATGTTTCATATTCATCTCTTTGATGGTATAGTATGCTCATGTTAATAAATATTATGTGATTTCAGCTCGTGGAAGTTACTATTATTTGGGAGCTCTATGTGTATATGGATAATATGAAGAATGTGTATGTGAATATTTGCGAAGAATGCAAGTTTTCAAAGTCTTTAACACTTGTTTAGTTTGTCCATCGCTTACGAATCCTTTTCAGAGACGTAGAACTGTGATACAAGTAGACACATATATACCATATATTGTGCAAATAAACATGAATAACGAATATTTCTCCCAAGTAGCGCTAGTAGAATAATCGGCCACATTACGTACTGTAATTGATAGATTTCAGTAATTAGGAAACATAAATGATGCGCTATGTTATGATGTTTATGACGTAGTAAGCTGTACAAAATGTACAGTTTTTCAGATATTCAAGAGAAAATTTGTTACTTTTTCAATGTTTAGCTTATCGTAGAGATATCTCGATAACTCAGGAATATGCTGTTACAATAGTGCTCCAATCACTGAACATTTTTGTGTATATAAATTTTATGTGTACAACAATTGGATTTTTGTACATATACATATTTCGACACAATGCATTCATATTTGATCACACACATATATATATATATATATATATATATATGTACATGTACAAGCCAGATACAGTCAAACATGAATGTATTGGTGAAAATTTTTCTCTGAGCGCATTGTTTTACTTCCTGTCATACGATCAAGTAAGTAGCTAGAAGTCTATATACAGAATTGGCATTTACAAGCGAAAGAAAACTGTTAATAAATACACAAGTCAAATAGAAAATAACAAGAACGAAGGCTTATTGTCGCGAGTACATAATTAACTAATGTAGAAAAATTGTTAAACGACGCAACTGGCAAATCTAATTAGACAAAACTTATTGCGAAAAATATTACCTCAGCCAGGGTTTAAATAGAAAATGTTTCTTGAAATTCTTTCAAATTTTCGGATTTTCTCTAGCTTAGGAGATATTAAGGAAATTATATAACATACTATAGTAGATAATATACATATAAACAACAATTTTCATTAAAAAAGATGTATTGAGAAGATAGGTTTTTCTCGTTTAAAGTAAAACTTGGAATAATTTAAAAGTCTCCCGTTTATTCTAGTTCAGTTTGTCTAGTCTTTATTCATAATTTATAGAAATTATTACTTTAGTCGGCAAGAGAATAATGTATTGCCAAATTTTGAATTAGTATTCCTTATTTGCTACTTGTTAATGCATAAATCTTTCGGTAGTGTAGATATACCCAGATGTATTATATTATGTGTATATATTATATATGTATAATACATGTATGTAATTATTACATATTTTATATGTATCAACATAACAATTGATTGTTTTTGTTATATTTGTGTAAAACTACAGAAATAAAAACTGATATACAATTATTTCTAATTGGAATTTATTACATTAATTTTTGTGAATTTTTCTTATTTTCTTATTTGGTTCGTTATTTTCTTTTCTCTCTCTCTCTCTCTCTCTCTCTCTCTCTCTCTCTCTCTCTCTCTTTCTTTTTACTAGATACTAATTAATAATTTTAATCTTTTATATTTTGTTAACTTGCTACATTGTTACTTGAAAAGGACCTAAAGTAGGGTTGAAATGTTGTAACGAATTCAATAAAATTTGCCAGCAGGATTGACAATAAGCTCACTGTTTTAATCTATACGTATGGTTTTGTCTCTAACACTTATTCGAATCCTCGTTCGAATTATTTGATAAAAAAATAAAATAAAAACGCAGAACAGATGCTTTATTTTGCACCAGTAGCAAATAACATAAAAATGTAAGACACTTACCTCACGATTTCTCCGCCGTTGCCTCTGAGGCCTCTTCCTCCTCTCAGATTTCCTTGTGGCACTCACACAACACTCACTCGCGAAAATCATCGATCGCGCGAAATTTCGGGCACTCCCGTACGCGATGTAAAATACCGCGAAACGCACGAAATATTATTAACAAATATCGCGTGACTTTCTGTCGTACAAATTATTCAAACTAACAACTTACATTTTTGATTCGGAAGAATGGATAAATCACTTTTGAATTGGCGATATAAAACACAACGCGAGCATCGGAAGCATAATCTGCGGTAAAGAAGTAGTTATTAGTCTGCAACGAAACGATATTTTACAATCTTTGACATTCAGTCTAATCCTCGAAATAAAGTATGTGAGCGAAATTTCCAGCGACAAGCGCGAACGCCCAAGTCGCATAAAATGGAACAGATTACACGAGATCGATAGATAATTAAAAGCGCGGTGCGTAAACGAGATGTAACCGCGACAAAGTATCACGGTTTACATTCATATTTTAGATGAGTTAGTCTCGTGAAATATCTATGTATACGTTGATAAAGAGCTCAACATACAATTCGTTTCTTATTATTAGTTGTAGGAACTTGATAATTAATCGAGGAACGTTACTTGTTACTAATAAAGGTGTGCAAATCAATAGTGTTTTATCCCTTTTGCATTCGTCGCGATCGAGTCTTGGAGACCAATAACGCAAAAGTAATACCACGCACGGAGCGACTCTCGTTACTGCTTGCCGGTCCGACGTTCGGCGAGCGAGTGATAGGCGCAGCGACTTTCAGGTACACGATGGTACGCAAACATCGTACGCACCGCGCCGAAAGAAAAACAACAACGAACGTTGAGAATTCGTTGTCCCGCCTACGAAATTGAAAATTCTCTACTTAATATTTTACATTACTTTGTTCCGTAACTTACTGGTATTGATTAAATTAACGACTAATTCTATTCAACCGAAAAAATGTTTCGAAACAAAATTCGTTGTTGCTTAAATTCTAATTATTAAGATTCACTTTTTCAAACTGTCTTTTATCTTTAATAAATTTGACTTAAAATTACTCGCTTTCTCTCTCAGTCTATCATCTTTTTTTAAATAAATGTCACTCAGCTCCGACTTATTCTCAATCATTCTCTTTCATCAAATCATCCTCTCTTTCACTGTTTGCACCTCTCGCTAACACTCACACGCGCTCGTTTTCGTTTAATGCACAATTTAATCTTCTTTGGTAATTTATCGCCAAAGATATATGTATATACATATAGGTATTTATGTTTTTTAACAAAGGTTGCTCAGCCTTTGAGAAAGGAGAGGAAAGGGAAATGGGATTAAGAAAAAGAAGTAGCAATTTCGGCAATACGGTAAAAAATATGATTTTATTTTAAATAATACTTATTTAGAAATTAAATATACACAATACAGCTTAGGATTAAGAGTTCGATTTAGATTTAGAAATGTGTTATGTACATCATTATAATTCGCAATTAGATAAAAATAAAAATTTATTAAAAATTATGGCTGCATATGTATCGTCAAGAATTTGACATTGATCACAGAACGTAGAATGGTTTTATATGTTGGGATTGGACGAAAAACAACGTTTTCACGCACTAAGCGCACAATAATGAAAATTTGCAAAAAGTGAAGTTTTTTTTCTTGTGATAAAGATAATGCCCTTTTGATATATACAGGGTGGGCCATTTTAATTTATACAGTCGATTTTTTTAAAAACTAAAAGAGATATGAAAAAATGTTTCAGACAAAAGTTGTATGGTTTCGAGGGGGACATAAGATGGTACCATAGGTTTGACCTTGAAGAGTAATTTGAAGGTCACATGAAGGTTACCTTCAATTTCTTAAATGGAACCTACTATTTCTCGTTACATATTCTTGTAGGTTATCTCGAGAGCTTTCCAAAACACTATAATAAAGTATTTTTTTATTAAGAACTTTTTGAGTTATTAAGGTTTGAAAGTTTCAATATTTAGAC